ACACACACACACAAACAAAAGCCCTTTGATGAAACAAATTCTGCAGTGGGAGAGCTTTCTTTGTCCCTGTGCCCACTCTTGTGGTGCTCAAATGAGAACAATGCAAAGCCATAGTTGTGCCACAGAAAGGTGTGGAAACTGCGTGAACTCCAGAAGTCCCCTTCTACACGTAATCAGACAAAGAAATAATAACAGCCACAGTACTGTGCTGTGATTGGAGAGCTCTCCCTGATACCACATGTTCATTATCTGTTGCCTGTGCACCAAAACGTTTTCGAGAAATAATAAGCTTCTAATGGGGTAGTGTTCACAGATAATGATAACCAATGCTGTAGCTGCAACTGAAGATCATTAAAGACATGTTGCAGTGTATAATACTTCCAATGCCCGCTGTATGAACTACACTTCAAACACATAGGCTACCTACTTTCAGTAGCACCCAAATTAACAGATGTACTTTAAATCCCCTCTAATCTTTCTTGTCTCATGTGCAATGGATGTCTGTAACTGACAGAGCAAAATTAAAATACGTTCATTTTTAATGATACACTTAGATAGAACTCTGGCGTTACCTTCCATTGAACTGGTAAATGACGGTTCATGTTGGGGATTGACATGAATGACACAGGGCTCGGTCATACTATAAAACTGTCTTAAAACTGACAACAGAATGACAGTGAACAAGGCTTTCCTCTGAGGGTGCTCTACGTATTTATGTCACACATGAGAACGAAACCTAACTCTTTACGATCACAAAAGAGCTCCTCTCTGCTCAAGTCCAACAATTTGTGACATGTTTCCATAAAGAAACAACCAGCAACCCCACATAGCCATGGTTAAAATCTGTATTTCCCTGTTGTACAGTAGTAGATACAGTTCTAAATTTCAAACTCCAGGCCACTGTTAATTGCTTTTAATGAACCACGTGTTTTATTGAGCATAACCTCTGTCATGTTGCCAAAGAAGAAATCTGCCTGTATATTGAAATTAGCTGCTGCCTGAAACACATGTTTGTTGCCAACTTGCTAATTCGATGTTCAAAGAAAGCGCTGCCACACACAATGATCACTTTGCCTTTTGGAGATGTGATAAACAAATTATTGGATGACATTCTTGTTACTTGTTGCCTTTGGATGATTATTTGGTGTTGTTAGCTACCATAAAAATGCAAGACATGCGTCTTGTATTGCTAGGTAGAGCTATTCAAATGTGTGATTACAGCTTTTACTGTGAAGGTAATACAAAAAAACATGTAATATGACTGCATAATCATTCAAGACAGTTCCAGACTCTTCTCTGCACTTTATACCAACTGGTTTTCTTTTGAGGGCTGTGAAAATAAACTGAATGAATCATTTTGTTCTGTTGTCAATCTCAAGGAAATTATTAGGTGATTGATTAGGTGGTGAAGTTTATATGGTCAAATAGGTGTATTCATGAAAAATCACACTTATGCAGTTAACAAATCCAAATTTTAATGTCCAAAATTCGCTGATTCTGTTGAATTATCCATATTTGCTTTCTCTTTGAAGTTTACTGACTCTTTTTTTTTTCTTTCTCTTTTCAGCAAACTCCAGTCTTCTGGGAGGAGGAGGAGGTGAGTGAACACCTTTTGTTTTTTTTTCATTATATAATCTCATTGTTTGTTCCTATGCTATTAAAGCAATTAAAGTTCCACTCAACAGCACTCATCATATTGGCACATCTATATTCTTCTGTCGTATTGTTCTGGTTCATGGCAGACTTTAGTGTCTATTTCGCTCCAAGTGTCTGTGTAAATGTGACTGAATGTAAGGCCAAAACATTAGAGCATAGTGCAGTGAAACCTTGCACTGTGCCACACTGAGAGATGGTCATTATTTTAGTGGTCTGCCGAAGAACATTATCATCAAAGCAATGGAGGAAATCAGGAGGCAGCTGAGCGTGGTGTGGTGGGAATAATGGGTTGGGAACTCCAGTAGAATACTACTGCCCAATCCCACTGTTCTTTTCTGAAATTTGACTTTTACTTTGACATGATTGAAATAATCATTCTTGGCCACAGTAAGAAGAGGTTGGGGTAAAATGCACCCAGTCCGATGTGGAATGTTAATTTTTAGTCCGAAGGGGAATTTTTGGTGATCTGTTGGAATGGTATGACAATGAAATAAGGTCACTGCTTCAGCCATATCTGTTTATCCATCTGTGTTGGTTGTCACTTTGAATGTGTCACCATCGTCTGACAGCCTTCAGTTGTACAGGGTGATCCTAACCAGGACATTGGACATTTTTGTCTTATCGACCCAATATATTTCATCTAATATATCAATAAAAATGTGCTTATATAGTATGTGTTGTAGGTCTCTGCCACAGACATTTTTTAGCTATCTTTAATGTAATTAATGAACGAAACCTTCACTGACATTGATATGCCATATATTCCCTACTGAATCACAGTAGATGTGTATGCATCCCATATTAATTTAGCTGTAGTTGTGTTTTTTGTAATCATAGAACTAAAAAATAGATTGTGTGGGTGTTTAAAATGTTGTATTGTATAAACTTTTACCTGCCAGACCTTTCCTCCAAATTACATAGTCCTTCTCTAAAGAAGTTAGAAATTGATTAAACAAAAACACATTAGGACAGAATTATGAACTTTGCAGTTGTTTCTGTGTTTATTTATTTATTTATTAAGATTTGAACACCGGGAATATAAATATGAGTAATCAGAAGCAGAGGATGTGCATAAAGCAACATCAAAGACACAGCACAGTTAACTTCTCAGTGCACATGGTGACCATTTGAGTGTACGCAGAGCTGTTGAAATCTTATTCACATCTAATCATACAGCCTGGAGTGGCCCTCATCTTGCCTGATTCATGGTTATGACTGCAAACTTTCCAGCCATTGTTGCATAGCAGTGCAGCATCCCAATCTGTATCGATGACATGGAGAGGCCCTCAGCGCACAACCATCTAAAGAACTTCTGTGATTGAGATCAGAGGTCACGAGCATGCTTCTCCATAACCAAGGCAAGCCCTGTAAAGCAGGTTATACTGTGCTCCTGATTGGTGTCTGTCTCTGCTGCAGTTGACTCTCCGTACTCATTTGTCACGTACAGAGAAACAATAGAAGCAATTTTCTTTGCTATTATGTTTTCATTATTGTTATTTTGTGGCAAATCACCTTTTCACAGTTCTCCGAAATCTGATAAAAAACACAGCCTTGTTGATTGATCCAGGTTCTTCAACTAATAATAGGCATTAGTGTATTACAGATTGCTCTGTTTCAACACAGCAGCAACAAAAATGAAGTCGTATATGTGGCTGTCAACACTGAAACGTGAGATCTTATGTGTCAATTAATGTCATACTTTACAAGAAAACATTTCAGTTGATTGTGACCTGCAGCTGTGCTTATTAACTCCAGAGGAATTCTAATTGTAGCTAGTGCCATTTTTTGAGAGCAAAGCCTCCTTTCATTCTTAATTGACTTCCAGCGATGCTATTCCTGCCAAGTTACTGGCACAAGATACAAGGTCAATTAACTGTAAAATGCTATAAATCACATTTTCTCGTGTTCATAATGACCACAACAAGTCTGTTATTTTATTATTTCTCATGCGTGCACTCTTGTGAAGCTTGTTTTTGCTATTTTGGCTGTGCTAAAAAAATAAAGAGATGATTATAACCAGGGAGAGATTACCATTATCTACTAGAGAGCTGAAAATGTTATTTTTCTCCCAAAACAAAGCTCTACACCGTTTTTCTTTTATCTGCACGAGGCCAAGAGGGGTTTTATCTTCCAGTGTCTTTATCACTAGAAGGTGGCTGCTAAACCTGCAAAACTGTTCTCTCTGTTCTTACCCTGGCCCTCCCTCTACCTCTATCATTTGGCATGTGAAGACCTCCTGCCTTGGTGGCGGCGAGGATCGATGTGAAAAGGAGATGTGCTCTCATATAGGGCCAGCCTTATCTCCCAGCTGTCTTCTCGGGGCTCTGCAGAGGGGCAGCTTCACAACAGGATGATCCATCATGCTGGCCTCACGCACCTGAGCCATGTTTAGTTCTCACAGCTATGGAGGTGAGCCTCCCGCCAGTATGTGAAAACTGGACAATATCTGTATTTTATGTATTAAAAGTTAGTTTACCACCTAGACACTTTTAGAAGTTCTTCTGGCTTTACATGGTTTTGAGGAATTTCTGGTATTCCCCTATATGTGTAGGTATCTGTTGAGAGAAAAGTTTCACCTCTCTGTATATCTTATCATTAATTCAAGTGCGATATGTGGTCACAGCAAAGCCTTTTGGTGGTGATTGTTTTGTTGGCTTGCAGTCAGAACAGTGTGAATGGGGTGGAAATAAGTTTAAAAATGTCTTGGGTGAGATTTATTCTGTACCCAAAAAACACATTATTATATTCCCAGCATTAGTTATGGAGACGAAAAAATTATCCAGAAAAGATTCCTATGCCCTGATGCTCTATTAAATCCTTAGAAATCACTGATGGGAATTCTCTCTGGGTTGTATGTCTTCAGTATTATGTACACAATGGGGTTAACCAAAATAGCACTGTTATCTACGGTAGACATGTTGGTCTCACTGGGATTCCATACGTACATAGAGGGAAATAACAATGATCTCTGATAATGGCACGCTAAATGAGGCCTCTGTGAATAGAGGGTAATTATGAATGGTACCAGGTTGCTCGTGTGATGTGTGTCACAGCATGGCTGGATGCTGGCACAGTCCCAAAAGAACAGACCTAATGTAAACATCATGTTGTCTATCTCTCCTTTATCCCCCATTTGTCTCTTTCTCACACAACCACTGACACAGGCACACACACACACA